GGCTAAATAATTTCTATCTTTACGCCTTATTGAAACGATTTATTTATATGATTGAGTTCGACAATTGTCATTTCGACCCTAAATTCTTATGTGCTCTTCTTGCTACCTTGGAGACTGCCACGATCGATCGATTAATCAATGAATGAAGCCTGCCACGAAATGGGCTGAATCAACATTGATACTGATGATGATGGTGGTAATGTTGACGAGGATGAGGAGGAGGAGGCGATGTTGGAGTTATCGATGACTCCCAGCCCGTAGCAGATCTCTTGTTCTCGTTGTTCCAATTTATGCAAATTTCTCTCTTGATTCATTAAGATCTTTATTCTTTTATTATTGTTTTTCTATATCACCTCGTTTCCTGTTCTTTTTCAGGTTGATCATTTGTATGATCGATGGGTGAGTGTTTTCGCTAGATTTCTCTACTCTCCATCTTTCAGCAAGCTTGTTGTCTATGGGATCTGGTAATTATCAATTCAATTATATTCGGTCTTTGAGTTCCTCTCTTAATTGACATGATTTTTTTAGTATTTTTCTATCACTTTATTTGTATAAGATGTCATTTGGATTTTTTACGATATATGATCCAATATATTGACTTTTAAATACATGAAACTTGAGTTTAAGAGGATTTTTTGAATTATTTTTCATGTTCTTCGTATCCCCATTTCTTCGTATTCTTAATCGATCTATGATTTAAGAATCAATCACATATTTAAATAACTGATCTGATTGCATGATTTGAGTGATTGATGGAGAAAAATCTCACTTATAAAACTTATATAAATACACATCACCTCAATAAATAAAATTTCTTTTTCACAGCATCTCAATTCTTTATGGTATCAGAGCTCCCTTGACCTTGAGCAAAACTTCTCTTTTCTCGCTGTCCGACAATAACAATCTCTCTTCTCTTATCATTGTTGCTTGATTTTGCTCTATTGATTTGCCGCTACCTAAAATTTATCTCTTTCACAACATCTCAATTCTTCACATTATTATTTGAATTCCTTTCATTATAAGCCTATGAGTTGCTATGTTAATGAATTTGAACCATTAATCCAAACAGCTTAAGTTCAAATTCATGATAATATCTCATCAAATTCCTTTAAGTCAGTCCAATTTTTTTTTCATGGAACTAAACTTAGGGCGCTACAGTTATAATTATCATCTGTAGGAAGGGCTACAATATCGTAATATGACTTCCAAAACCGAAGATTGATTGCATAAGTTGAGGCTATTTGTCAACCATGTTCATGCTAATATAATGTTAGAGAGATATGAATTTAGAGAAAGAAGAACAAAATAAGGATATGAATGCACTCATATGTAAATTCATATGTAGTTCTCTCTGGTTTTAAGTCAGATACAGATATGGATTCAGACATGCATTATCTTACAACTAGCAGTACTGAATTAGGAAACCTCATCAGAAGAGAAGAAAAGAAAAGAAACTTCATGCATACGTCTTCCGGGATTTGGCAGTGGCATGTTTCCCATGCTTATTGCCCAAAGTTTTGGATGCCATAGTCCCTATCTTCTGGAGTTTCTGATGCACCATGTTGCAGAGCTTCACACTACGGATCGGTGAGAGGCACCAGCCGATTGCATCGAGGTACCACCCACATCCTCCGGTGAAACCCACTACCATTCCTCCATCCATGGGCACTGTGAACTGGGTTCCTTCCTCCACACCAAAAGGCCCAAAAGTCCTCTTGTTGCTCTTGAATGCAAGCGACCTGATGACAGGAGAACCACCATACACTACAGGGCAGTAGTGCCCACTTACGGTCATCAGGTATTCTTCTGGAGACTCCAATTTAATCTGCATGAGTTGAGCACTCGCAAGCTTAATGGTATATTACAGCTATAATAAATGCTGTTGGATCTGATTTAGTACTGGATATGGTTAGATTTTTGTGTTAAGGACATGTAATCCATGAGATATTTTAACTAAGATAAGAAGCCGATCAGGATGGATCATGACACTAATTACAAGTTATCTTATAGCTATTGTTCTAATAAGGATCAGATTCTAGAAAAGAAGATGCATACTTTTGCTGTCATGCTGCCACCATTTCCTCCATGCTTTTCTGCCAGAAAAGGCTTCCCATTCTTGTCATACTCGATCCGAATCGAGTCGATGCATCGATCGTATACGAGAGTTATCTCTCTGATGCCGGTGTGGATTCCGTCATCCCAGCCGCTTCCACCATGGCCTCCCCAGGGGCCGACCTTCACAGTCTTGCTTGATCCAACCACCTTCTGCGTTTGCCACATCAAAGACAATTCAGCATTCACGCTGAAAAATTAGCTAGTGCTTGAGGAGATTTGTGACAGTGATCGGTGACCAATATGCTAATGCCAATGTTTGATCAAAATCCATGAACTTTACTACAAAAGCAGCAAGTGAGCCTTCCCTTACCATGATGACTCCCAAGGATATCAAGCAGCAAGTGATCCACTTCCTCTATGAGAAGTAAAATGGAGAGGATGATATCTATCTATCTATATATAGAATGTGATGAAGGTGGAATTGGAATCCAGCACATCTATCCTTCCATCAGGATTCAAATGCATAAGTGTGTATAATTAAACATAAAGTTCCAAACTTTTAAATCTACAGTTCTATGCCTAAAAGCTGAGCTATGTCTTTCACTGGATAGTTTACACTTTCTGAGTTGAATGAGCTGAATACAACCTGAGTTTATGTGCATAAATTTAAGTTTTTTTAGCAAGTTGGCACATGTCACAGAACAAATCTTAACTAAGATCTCTAAAAAGATTCCATCCCTGTGCTTTATTCCTTTTTCAGATTTGACTCAGTTTAGATTATATTGTAATCAACATATAGTCTTCCTTCTTCCAGCTGATCCAATGGACAAATTTCAGAATATTTTCTGAATGATGACAAACTTCATATCTTTTGAGTCGAGACTTGCCACAAAAATGGTTGCTGACATTTGGAGAACTGAAATTATAAAGTTGCAGTTATATAGAAGCTTAAACAGGACGAGTCTCCACTTCATAGTAGACAATAGCACTAAGCATCTTCTTTTTGATTAAGATACATCAGGTTTCAGCCTAGACAACTGTCTGGGACTAGCATCTTCCTCGATTAATTTAAGAAGGCCAATTTGTAGAAGAAACAGCTCTCTGGTCTTGGTTAATTCCATTCTCTGGAAGTGAACAGGTGTCGACACCTCTCTCTTCTGGAGAACCATAGAGTTATGCAGAGTCAGAATGCTTTCTTGGTTGGCAGCAATGGCTTAGCGAGGCTGGCAGATCTCAGCTGCCGATGAAAGGATGAGGTTGAGGAGTTAAAAGGCACCTGATGCCGATGCATAGCCCATTAGGAGTTCGAGTTCTACTGTAAACTCATGCAGCTTGAAGGTTGCCTCTTGAATCAGTGCTTTCAGGTGACTACTGACTAGTAAGTATTCCTGATAGCACAAGGCAGCATCAAATGGTAAATTCCGTACTCCTCGACTTGTGGAGTGTAACAGAGATTTATATGAAACCTGAATAAAAATGGATATTTGAAACCCTGAGGAATTGAATTTGTCAACTCAAAGCAACTAAATCCAAAAGGAACATACCTTCAACTTAACCATGGATCTGAAGCACAAGAAATTCTCATTACAGTGTCCTGCACACACTGGACATTGTTCTAGAATGATTTTTGACCAAACATTAGCTGAAAAACTGTGGCTCATTTGCACACTCCAACAAAATCTTATATCCATCCAAATGTAGTTCTGAGACATTTACAGTAACTACTGCTAAAGCTGATGTTTATACCAAAAGAGCCATAAAAGATTTCTTTCATATTATCATATCCATATATAAGACCAGACAATTGTGTATTGTATCACCAAATAAAAGAATAGCCTAGTGTATGACGCTTTCGAGAATATGGAATTTAGTGAGAATCGGCTAAGATGCTGTTTCCATGGCTTGAGCTATAGTCGTTGAAAGTAATCTTACCTTGGCACCAAAGTTCACTCTCTATCATTAAGTAAACGATCCAAAGTGAGTTCACAGCCCCATCTGTGAATAAGTTGAAACTCACTTTTGAAAGGACACAAGTCATGAGTCATGTTGTTGCCTCCCTTCTTGTATTGACCGGAAAATCCTTGCAGCTGACTCCGTAGCAGACCTAGAATTATGAGGCACAACCTTAATCACACGAGTCTGGCTATCTGTACCATTGGATTGTAATGGGCAATTAAGACTGCTCGCTCCAGGAGCTGTAGGAAATAGAAGAAATTGATCTCTTTCTTCTAGTTGTGTCTTCTCAGAGGGGATGTTCACTGTGCTTCCTTGAAACTCACTCTTCTTTGACACCTGAAACTTCCCAGCATGGCCAGGAAATGCTTCCTTCCTAGGAATGGGGGACATGTTACATGAGCGCCTGGAATGCTGACCGGTTTGTCCACTGGGCTGTGAACCAGCTAAATTGCTGACCTGTTTGACTGCAGAGGTAGATATGATTGGGTTCCAAGCTTGAAGGCCATAAGGTGTGGGATAATACAGGGGTGCAATGGCCGAAGGACCCGGTAAAATACCCACGTTTGGTGGCCGATGAGATGCCGAAAAACCAAATGCGGAGTTGATGAAGTCTCCTGCCACTTGAGATGCACCAAGAGGTGTGCCTCTTCCATAAAGAGGAGCCATGAAGCCACCAGTTGGTGGGCAAGGTCCCGTATAGGGTTTGTAAACAAGACCTTCCGAAGGCGACATTACAGGAACTAACCATTGGTTTCCCAGGGGAGGAAAACACAATGGTCTTGACTTGTCATCTGGAGCCATTGGCACCGGTGATGGAATACCAGAGTTGGACCCTGCTTTTGGAACTTGACCATGTGGACCTCCTTTAGACCCATCCTCACATGCGGGGAGAGCTGAAACTCCAGCAATGTTATCAGCTGGCTGCTCCTTGTTCTGTTTTGGGTTCTGAAGACCATCTTTTGGTCTAAATTCCTCGGGCTGAGGATTTGTATTACATTGAGGCAGGGTCTTATTGGGTGGTTTTACTGAACATTTGCTTAAATAAGGATTGCCTTCAAGAAGCAAATGTGGTGATGCAGATATCAACTTCTGAACCTGTTTCATTTAGAATATTTACTTCAGAATCTATGTAATTCTAGCTAATCTGACGATCTATGAATATTGTAACTGTCCAAAACTAACCTTTATTACCCTATGAAGCTCAAATACTTGTATTGCAAAATCCCTTTGCTGACTGTACAAAAATTAAGAACATGCATCATCACAGAGAAGCACACAAAACCATGAAAAAATTACAAAATTTGATCTAACAAATTAAAAATAGTTCTAGAAATGCTGAATAAAAGAAAAGTTTATTCATATATTTCTGTGCAATATCCAATCTAATATTTATAGATGGAGTACATATGACAGTTACGGTACGTAAGACTAAGGCACGCATACTTTGACATTCTTATATACCACAGGAGTTCCTTTATTGGGAAGAGGGTAAATCTTAGAATCACCATAAAGCCACTGCTTTGCAACCTTGCTGATCAGGTTAAAGTTGCAAAAATGATCTCTCGTTGGTAGAAGCTTAGTGCACTGGGAGCCCTCCCTTTTCTTTTTGCTACTATCAGGTGATTTAAGTCAAAGAGTCATTTACGCAGCTCAAATGGAAATCCTAGTTTTTTTACATGTAAGAATTAATTGTATTAAGAAGCCTAGAAAATGATATCCGTTTCATCTCGACAACAAAATTTCACATAGGTTCTATTCAACGTTGGGAAAACTATGTTTGGTTTATGATGTACCACTAATATATAATATGGGACTTCTAGGGTCCAATTTAGATGAGTTTAAAACTGATCAGTTGAAATTCACCATGCCCAAGTGTGCTCATGAGACAAACTTGCAGAAATATCAATCCAATTCTGATAAGCAGGAGGGAACTAATCAGGCTGTTCTGGTTTGGCAAAAAGTTGCATTACTGCCATTACTGCAGACAACAAGAAAGAAGCCAGTAGAAAATTTATTCTCTCTAAAGAAGAAAAGAATAAATGATAAATTTACTTTAGTGCATTTTTCTTATTTTTATTCTTTTCTCATTTTTGGATATCCCTAGTTTTCTTGTACTTTGAGAGATTTTAAAATGGGGAAGGGGGTAGTAATTGAGAAATCAATTAATCAATGAACCTATGAATGAACAAAATTATTTGTTACACATTATGTCAGAGACTGATGACAGGCCACAGTTTTTTTCTTCCGATGGTATAATTTCATTGTCCAAGTGTAAAGGTGTGATGAGAGGCCAGTCATTATTTATTTTCTATTATCTTTTAGAATCATTATTTTCTCAAGCTCTCTCTTTCCCTTCCTTTATTCTCGAATAAAATAAAATACTTTCTGTGCTTGTCATAAGCTTGTTCTACTTTAAATTGTCAACATGATATCAATCGAGCCATGATTGTAGCCACAACCTGGGCCACTTGGTAGTTAAAAGAAGACAACAATCATAGGGAAGATAAGGGACAATTTTTTAGGATTTTCAAACAAAAAAAGTTTGCCAAATAACAAACATATTTTTTAGATTTCACTAAAAAAAGGGCATAGCCAAGTTCCCGCCAATGCGGGGTTTGGAGAGGTTTAATGTATGCAGCCTTGCCTTTAAATATTTAAAGAGACTATTTTTATGACTCAAACTCTGGTCTCCCTAGTCGCCAAGGAGCAACCTTACCGTTGTACCCAGACTCACCCTCATTTATTAGTGAAATCTAGAAAGATTTCAGTAATAGTTTGAAATGAATAATAAACTCCATGCTCAAGCAAATTACAATCAAGAATGCATGCATGCAAAATATGGATGATCACATTTCATGTGCATTAAAAGAATGTACATTTTAAAGAATACGCATACAGTGATAGTAAAATACGTACATTTTAAAGAATACACATACAGTGATAGTAAAATACTACGTACTTGATAATAGCTCTTCGGGCTTTCCAAAAATGCTTTGAACCAATCACTCCAACAATATCATCTGGGGATATCACCAAACCGGGCACTGTGTCCACCATTAAGGGCTCAGATGCATCATCTTTTCTTTCTAAATCTCTAAATTCCAATAACCCATTTTTCTTTGCACTGTCCTCTTTGTGGCAATTCCCAGAAATATCTGTAGCTCTATGACCTTTTCCGGGTAAAGCTTTAGAGCATAATTGACTTCTGGTCTTCATAGCCTCACCATCATTAATAACAGCAATATCATTCAAGCGTTGAGTTCCACTCTGATCACCTTTTCCATGACACAATACTGTATCGCCATTCATTGATTTCTCAGTTAAATGCAAACCGATTGTATCATCTCTAGCTAAAGAATCTTTCGAACTGTTTGATCTCTCACCAGTTGTATGGGATGAAAACTTTTCTTTGGCTTCTTTGGGTTCTCCGATTGTTGAAGTTTCTTTGGGCTCTTCAATTGTTGAAGTTTCTTTAGGAAATTTTCCACTATGAATTCTATTAGAATTTTTTGATTTAATGCAAGCAACAACGGTTTGTTGTGAGGGCGTCTTGTTTGACTTTGGGAACTGAACCGAAGAATTGATCCTAGCAGAAGGAATCTTCTGTAGTTGCTGGGAATTTAAGGTAGTTGACTTACCTGGATCAGTCATGTGTGTATCTCTTTTCGAGGATGCAAGAATTCCCGAATGATCTATATTATCATCCATGTCATCCACATCAACCATTATCTTCCCACCAGAAATGTTCACACTAGGGCTGTGTGGTCTCAGTGGGCTACATTCAGCAACTGATCCTGTACCGAACAAATTTCCAGAACTTACTTGCTTCATAAATTTTCTATTGAATTCCATCCTCGTTGCAATATCATTTGTTTCGTCAGGTGTACGAGATTTAACTATCTCTGCTGAATGAAAAGACACTTGAGGAGAAATGTACAATGGAGAAAGCATAATCCTTTGATGGTCACATCCCTAAAACAGAACATAAAAGCTTGTTAGCAGTGATTAACTTGACAGAGAAATAACAAATGTAATGACCGTCACAATATAACCATGGTTAAAAAAATCAAATGTTAATGTTTAAGGCAGGGTCTGCAGTATCGAATTGTACCGTCCGGTACGGGCGGTATGTACCGGTCCGATAGGTTGCCGGTACGCGGACCGTCTGTTACTGGTCCGAGTGTACTGTAGCACTGTAGCAGTACTACAGTACTCGGTACACCTGGATGTACCGCTCGGTATACCGTACCATACCGATACCGAGCCCGGATCGAAATACCGGTATGGTACGATATTGCGAACCTTGGTTTAAGGTTCTTAGAGAGATATACTCAGAAGTTGAGATGATCATTTTCCTTTTGGTCAAAATATCTCCCACAATACGAAGACAATTCTAGACATAAATTTAATTTCTTTCAACACCAAGTGAGGGTTGGCCTTAGAACAAGAGCAATGTTGGTCCTTTGCATCCTCGGTGACCAAGGTTCAGATCAGGGAAACAACTTCTCTGCATGCGAAGGTAACCCTTTACAGACTCATACTGGAGGGAGATCAGTGCATTGGGTTGCTCCCCAATACCCTTCTTGCCATTAACGACAGCCGATACCCATACCCATAGCAACCATGCAATAATACCTCTGACACGTCAAAGGTTCAAAGCAGGAAGACACAATGGTCAATTGGAGGCAGTTCGTGAGGTCAAGCATATATGCTATTGAAGCAAGCCAGGATTCAATGTGAAAATTCATCGACACTTTTAAACATGAAATGTAGCAGTAAATGGGATATTCTGTGGCTTCAGTATCATCCAAATTATCTCAAAATTGATTGTTGGTCATTATCTCATATGATAGAGCATCGTTTCTATGTAAAATGCCAAAAACAAAGGTGAAGAAGCAGAGGAAAACAACTACAAGGGAACAAAACAGTAGCAATAGAAGAAAATGATTGACATGAGTAATGAAGTCCGTTCAAGCAAAGTCAATTGTCCAGCCCTGTTAACTTCTCAAAGAAGAAGAAGTAATAATCAGATGCAAT